TTATATATTTTGAAATAAAAAAATAGAGGAAAGATCTCTCTTAAAAAAAAAAAAAAAAAAAAAAAAAAAATATTTAACCTGTATCAAGTCTTGACCAAGGCTCTGCAGCTAATATTATTTTTTTTTGGATATATACTTCATGATTTTTAACATACAACACTTACTCGAACTAAATAAAGAATTTTATACTAAACTTCTAGCATGTTTGATCATTAGCAAAGAGAAGAAAGAATATGTATAAACTATATTTTTTAATAGAAAAAAGCAACAGTAAGTATTACAGAAGTGAAAAAGATAGAAATTATATTAATTTTTTGTATCTAGCTGTGGAGAAAGCATATTTCTTACCTTTTTCTTTTTTAGCTAATGCTATTAATTTTTTCTCTTTTATAGTAATAATTAAACCTGCAAAAAAGTTGATAAGAAAAACTAGCATAGTTTCATAGTATTTTTCTAAAGATTTAGGATTTTCAAGTAATAATAATCTCTTTTTAAGTTTAAATTTTTTCTTGCAATATTAAATTAGCAAGTATATTTTCAAGTGCTTTGTATATAGTAACTTTTAATAGTTGTTTTTGTTTTTCTCTAACTTTAATTTTTTTAATAGCAAATGCTATTTTTACTAAAAAATAACTTGGAATTAAGGGTGTTGCAAAAGATACACTAGTAGTATCCTGTATTTTAGATATATTGATAGTAATACTATTGAAAAGTTTAATAAGTTTTTTTAGTAGATCAACTTTCATAGATTTATTATCTTCAGCAGTTTGTTTAATTTATCTAATAAAAAACTTTAAAAAAGATGCTATATTGTCTTGTGTTGTCCTTGTTCTATATATGAAACTTTTCTGGCTAAGTTTGTAGATAGCCTCTATGAGTTACAAAATAGTTTGCACAAATAAATCAAGATTTATTATTATTATGTAACTTTTTTGATAAACCACTATATTTATTAATTGCTAAGCAGTTGAATATGCTATGAGATAAAGCCTGAATTATGTGTTCACATATTTTTCATCTATGTACTAGACATGCTTTACCTCTTGTGAAGAAATATTTATATTTATTGCAAAAAAGACAATGATATAAGTTTATATTACTTTTATTAGATAGATATGCCTTCTTTATCCTATCTCTATATATATTTTTATGATCATAATTAAAATAATTTGACCAAATTTTTAATTTTGAAGTATTATTCACAATTTCTTTCATAGCTAAAAAATTAATTTCCCACATGCTAAATAATTGATTCACATAGGTATTGCTATTCTGCTCCACCTTTGAATTACACCTGGTTTATCATTATTGTCAATAATAGAGCAATATATTACTTTAGTAGTGTCACTAGAATTAATAGGTATTGATTGGTATTTCAATTTTTTTCTGAAACATTTTTGTCTTATTATTATCTTCAAAGAATTTATCATTGCTCTTACATAGTTTGTTCTTAGATTTTTCAATTGATCCAGTTAGTTTTTCTTGCAATATTTTTAATAAATACAAATCAAAAACAAAAGCTTTATCTAATGCTACTTGTTTAATATTAACATCAAATTCTTAATCAAAGTTGTCTTCGAAATCAAATAAAAAAGCTTTATGTAAAGATTTTATATTTGTAATTTTTGTTAATATTTAATTTTTTAAAAAAAGGTTATAGAAGAATTGTTAAATTAATAAAGCTTGAGAGTTTAAAACTATCTTTTATAAGTGATTTGGCTGCAAGATTAATATACAATACGTAGACCATATTTTTAGTAGTAGATCAAGGCCAAGATTGTCAAGATTGCTACAAGATTGCCAATATAACTAAAATATTTGTATATTATATTTCATAGAAATAACATGAAAAAAGTATACAAATACTTAAAATAGCAACACAATTATCTTTTCTGAAAAATTCTCTTTATTTAATTTTTAAAAATATATAATTGCATAATTTAAATATTTAATAAAAATTTTACATTTATTTAAAAATATTTTTTTCTAATAATAATTACAAGAATAAATTACAAAATACAGAATTTTAAAATAAAACGTATATTTGCACGTGTGACTAAAAATGTAACATGATCTGTTTTGATCACATTGAATACATTCTTTTCTAACACACTGTACTAAGCCCCAAACATAAAATTTGCTATTAGTTATAAGAATGAAATGAAAAAAAAAGAATAAAAAAAGAATAAAACAACAAATTTAATTTTTTTGGTCATTATAAGAGACGACTGTAAAAATAAGTTGGACTGGCAAAAAAGCAAAAAAACTTCTACATTCTGCAATTGTTAGCGCCATTACCATATTATATAATATGAAACAACAAGCGTTTTTTGGAGGCTGCATTCTTCTTGGCTTTATTTTGTATCGTATTTTAAACCTGCAAATAATAAAGAAATTAACTTTCTTAACAGTCAAAATGCATGTCATAAGTGCAGTTTCCTTTTTTAGAAACCCTTGAAATAAATGATTGAAAGTGGGTGACCGTTGCAATTTACTATGAAAATTGAACCCATCATATGCATGTCGATCACTCAAATTTCATAGTAAAAAAATTTACCCTTGTGATCTGCGTGACAAATCGGGTGACTGGTAATGGAGTCATGACGCAGCAAAGAAAGAAACTGTAACATGTATGAAGTATGACACAAGAGGCATGTCCGCCGAATGACAATAAATAACGTAGGTAAAAAAAACGTGAAGCTAAGGACAGATACGCGAAGCAATGTGTAAACTCTAAGCAAAACCTTAGTGAAGTGTTAAGAAAGTATGGTCAAGCTTCATTCGATCATAAAAGAAACTATTAATTCAAATTCTAGCAAAACAAAATTTATAATAACAAATATATGATATTGAACATTTTGACTTTAGATAAAAACATATGATAGATATTTTATTTGTAAATAGATAGTTGGCTTAAAAACAAAACTATCACTATTGTAATATGTAATACTATTAACAAATTATAATATTAATTTGTATTACTAATAATATTAGTAATCTTAGTATTCAATTCAGAAGCGATTTGTTTATCTCTTGCTGTGCCTACTCCATTTTCATAGCAATTAGCAAGATTAAGTAGCCCACTAAGATTTTCATTTTCAGCAGACTTCTTGTACCATTGAAATGCCTTTTGTTCGTCTTTAATCGTGCCAATCCCTTTTTCATAACAATACCCAAGATCATTTTGTCCATTTGGATCACCTCCTTCTGCTGATTTTTTATACCAATGAAATGCTTTCTGCTCATTTTTAATAGTTCCAATTCCGTGCTGATAACAATATCCAACTTCATATTGTTCTTTGGAGTTTCCATCTTCAGCAGCATTCATATGCCACTGAAATATCTCCTGCTTTTCTTCTTCAATAACCTTCATGTCCCACCGTAATGCTTCTTGTTCATTTATTATAGTACCAATTCCATTTTCAAAACAATTTTTAAGATTTTTTTGTCCATCAATATTTCCTTGTTTGGCAGATTTATTATACCATCCGAATGCTTCTTGCTCGTCTTTAGCAATACCAATTCCATATTGATAACAATATCCAAGACTATTTTGCCCACGGACGTTTCCATTTTCTGCAGACTCCTTGTACCATTGAAATGCCTTTTGTTCGTCTTTAATCGTGCCAATCCCTTTTTCATAACAGTATCCAAGATTATTTTGTCCATCTGGATCACCTCCTTCTGCAGATTTTTTATACCATTGAAATGCTTTCTGCTCATTTTTACTAGTTCCAATTCCATGCTGATAATAATATCCAAGTTCATATTGTCTCTTGGGGTCTCCATTTCTAGCAGCAACCATGTGCCACTGAAATGACTCCTGCTTTTCTTTTTCAGCAGCCTTCATGTCCCATTGTAATACTTCTTGTTTATTTATTACAGTACCAATTCCATTTTCATAACAATTTTTAAGATTATCCTGCCCATCAATATTTCCTTGTTTAGCAGATCTCTCATACCATAGTAATGCTTCGTGTTCATCTTTAACAGTACCAATTCCATATTGATAACAATATCCAAGACCATTTTGCCCACAAGAATACCCATTTTCCGCAGACTTTTTATACCATCGGAATGCTTCATTCTCATTTATAATAGTTCCAATTCCATATTGATAACAATATCCAAGACTATTTTGACCATAGGAATTTTCATTTTCTGCAGATTTCTTGTACCATTGGAATGCTTCTTCTTCATCCATAATGGTTCCAACTCCGTATTGATAACAATACCCAAGACTATTTTGACCACTGGAATTACCATTTTCTGCAGACTTTTTATACCATTGGAATGCTTCTTTTTCATTTCTTGTAGTTCCAATTCCATATTGATAACAATCTCCAAGTCCGCGCTGCGCAAAAGAATTTCCTCCTTTAGCTGACATCGAATACCATTCAAATGCTTTTTGTTCATTTTTTGTAGTACCAATTCCATTTTTGTAACAATATCCAACATTGTTTTGCGCAAGAGAATTTCCTCTTTCAGCTGACTTCAAATACCATATAAATGCTTGTTCATCATCATTCATAATACCAATGCCATTTTGATAGCAAAACCCAACATTATTTTGCGCATTATGATTTTCATTTTCAGCAGATTTTATATACCATTGGAATGCCTTTTCTTCATTTTTGGTAGTTCCAATTCCATTTTCATAACAGTATCCAAGATTATTTTGTGCATTAGGATTTCCACTTTCGGCCGATTTCTTATACCAATTGAATGCCTTTTCTTCATCTTTGGTAATTCCAATTCCATTTTGATAACAATACCCAAGTTCATTTTGCGCACTAGGATTGTCATTTTTAGCAGATTCAAAATACCATCGGAAAGCTTTTTTTTCATCTTTAATAGTTCCAATTCCATTTTGAAAACAATATCCAACATTATTTTGTGCATAATGATTTCCATGTACTGCAGATTTCATATATAATTGGAATGCCTTTTCATCACTTTTAATAGTTCCAATTCCATTTTTATAAAAATTTCCAAAAACATTATATGCAAAAGCTTCCGTGGATTTTGTAATTCTGTATATTGGTTTTAAAGACATAATTTTGTTTGGTTTGCTTTTAATATTGTTTTCATATTTTTTAGCTTGTTCATACATCTTATGAGCCTTCTGCTTATTAACTTTAACGCCAAATCCATTTTCGTAGAAAAACCCAATTAAGTGTGCAAATGTTGGCTGTCCTTGGTGCTTTAATAATTTTTTAAATATTCTATCTGGATTTTCGTCATAATCTTCAATTAAAGCTTCAATCTGATTAATAAGCAATTTGGGTTCTTCAGAAACATGTAAAAAAAGCTGCACTAGCTTTCGCAGAAATTGCTTATCAGGATCTTTGATATTGTTATCTATATATTCAAGAGTTTTTGTATCGATCTTTATAATGGGTTCTTCATCAAAGTTTGATGCTGAAATTGAAGTTTCATTAATATTTGATGCTAAATTTAAAGCTTCATTAATATTTAATGCTGAATTTGATGTTGAACTTAAAACTTCGCATAATTCATGGAAAATTTTAGAATCAATGCTGGTTATATCTGGTTTGCTGTTATCAACACCATTATCAATTTCAATTTCTTCAATAGATATCACATTATCAATATTAATATTTGCAAGATTAGACACAATCTCTTCAATAGTTGGTCGTTGATCTGGTACTGATTTCCAACATTCTAATATCGATAAAGTCATTTATTATTACTAACTGAAAAAAATAAAATCATACATAAATTATGTTACCTTCATAAATATTCACATAATCTTTTGGTGTTCCATTAATTGGGTTTTCTTTTAATCCGGAGATAATATGTGAAAGTAAATTGGGCAAGGAATCAAACTTAAATGGCTCCCTACCACTCGATATTTCCCATAATAACACACCCAAACTATATATATCCGATTTCTTAGTTCGACTATAATTTAGAGAGCTTCTAACAAATTCAGGGTCCGAGTAACGTATTGATCCAAACCCCTTTGTCAATTGAATTGATGGATCTGCAACAAATTTTGAATTTCCAAAATCACTAAGCTTTATAATTTTATCATGAATAAGTACGTTTTCAGAATGCTAAAGGAAAAGATGAAATATAAATGAAAAAAGTTAAAATATAATTAGGATTAAAATCAAAAATATGTGATATTAAGTTACCAGATCCCTGTGAATTATATCATATGAATGTAAAAACTTTATAGCATCGGCTAATTGTTTTGCAAGGCAAAGTTTATCGTCCCAATTTAATATATAAAAGTTATCGCATAAATACTCTCTAAGAGTACCATTATTCGCATATTCGAGAACAAGTATAAATTCACTTGGCTCTAAAGAATATATTAAAAATATTAGCAATGTAATATTGTAAAGTGTATTCATTAATTAAGAATAATTTTTTTATTACCACCTTCAATAACTCCATAGAATTCTAAAATATTATTATGTGAACCAATACGAATATGCTGCTTGAGCTGTAAAGGTAAAGGATTAATATTAAATTATAATTTTATATAACGAGGGAAAAAGTTCAATATATACAGTATTGTAACGTGTTCGCTATAAAAGTTATATTTAGGGTTGAATATAGAGAATATTAACGAACCTCGTTAACTAGTAGCTCTATTGTAAAATCTGGATTAATTTTGATGGATTTTAAGGCTACTTTTCTTCTAACTTCAGAAGATATTGCACTGGAAACTTTTCCGAATGTCCCGTGTCCGATAGGCGTTATGTCATTAAATGTATTATAATGATATTTGATTATTTGATTATTTCTAATAGCATTGTCAAGCCATTCTCTATGTTCGCACCTTTGAGCCATTCTTTAGAAAACTAGATTATGCAAATGAAACAAAAATATGTATGAGTTTGTCGGATAACGTTATATAATTTGTGCGGTTGTTTGTAACAAATGATCATTTTTAACATTGTACAAAATCTATTCCAGAATTTTTTGCTTTATCTACAGTATTAGAAAAATTAGTTCCTTTGTTTATGTGTAAAATTTTTTTGCAACACTAACCTAACTCCGATGCATTCCGACTAAGAAATTTGGGGATCCTCCTATAAAAATTGAGAACATTAAATGAAATTGTAATTTCAAACCGCCTAACCTAAAAGGAAATTTAATACGTATAAAGAGATAACCCATCGTTATGACAATTCGATTTCGGTTTATCGAATCTCTCATACGTGTACTTGCTGGCAACTATTAAAATTTTGTTTGCCCAAATCTCAAACTCTGACAAAGCCTTATATCTTAATAGTTAAGTCATGTATTCTATAGTTATATTTCAGGATTAATTTTTATAAGTACCAATGCTTTTTTGCCCGGGTTTACCAGTAAGTATATTATTAACCTCAATCTACTTCTCAAAACTGTATAAGCTAGTTTTCAAGGTTTGATTGGTTATCAATTTCATTAAACGTAGATCATTTTTCTGTTTTGATTGGCTAAATTAAATAAACTTTAACTTTTATGTAGATTTTGTGTTGGATAAATAGAGTGTAGATTTGTTTGTAACAAAGGATCATGTGGAAACTTGGTTTGTAATGTCATCCACAACTTTACTCTCAAAAAAAAATCAACTGTAACCTAAAATTCTGGTTAATTTGATAATTATCATCACATAACAATTCTCTGTAAGGTGGAATTTATATAGAAACAATATCAAACTAGAGATTTGATCTGGAAATAAATTTAAGCTCTGGGCAGTGTCCAGCTATTTCTAGTATCTAAAATAGCTCTAGTGGTATTACGAACCACATATCCAAATTCGACGGGATTGTTTTACTTAATTCTATTGTTTATGAATAAAAATAATAATTTATCTAATTTAGTTTGGTTATTTTCATGATATCGTTAGTGCTACATTTGTCAGGCAAAGACGAAACTTAAACCCAAAAAATGACGAAAGACGATACTCCTTGTGAAACGTCGAAACTAGTTGTTAGGTGAAACCTATTCCAAATTGAAACCCCCTTGACGAAACGTCGAGACCTAATAAAATACGCGAAGCTATCTAAAAAGTGTCTGCTCCGTGGTCTCTGAGCCATTCGGACTTAAATTAGGACTATACAAATAAAAATAAACTTTTTTTCTTTAAATATACGAAGTTATACTGGTATATTATACTAAATATCGATATTAACGATAATTTATGGACGAAAAATGTCGCGGTCCCGTGATCGCCGACCGTTCCGACCAGTTTGATATAGCAATAGAAATGTCATAGGAAGAAGTTTGTTTGATTGGTTGATTACGAAGATCATTTTGTAGATCACGTTTTTGATTTTAAAAAATATGATTGGTCGTTTTTATACATTACAAAATTATTACAAAATTATTACGTACAAATTATTCGATTATATAATCAAATATATAAAAAAAAAATATAACTTTTTTATATAAAAATTATAATTTTCAACCAAAACATGTAAATTTACAATTCAATAAAAAACAATAAATTATAATAAAAGAAATTGCCATATTGTATTATCCCAGGGAATTGAAATATCATTGGCAGATTCCTTGGTATCATCATCGTCGTCTTTGGGAATATCATCATCATCATCGGGAATAGAATCAGGGTCTTCGCTTTTGGCATTATCATTCGAATTGAGTTTGCACAAACTTTTCAAAAGTGATTGAACGTGCTTGTCAATACCATCATTAATGTAATCTAGACAATGTAAACATTTGGACCTGTCTTGGCTAAAACACGTATCATGATATGCGTGACCACATGGTAATACTCGACCCGTTTCTTCGGTGAGTGGTAATGCCTGTTCTTCACTAATAATAGTATTAGTAATACAATTAAACGAATCACAGCCAGACAAACTAGGCTTATATGAAGCACTATATCCCAAAGGTAAATGACAAAGCCACGCTTCCTTCATCTTCATTGCCAGAATAGGAAGACTTTTCATATTGGTATTTACTTCTTTCTTTCTTCTTTTTAGAGGTCGTACCGGAGCAACCTGTGGTGGAATTGAAAATTGAATCTTCTTATATTTAAATACGGGTATAAATTTCAGAAAAACAATCAAGAAGAAAGAACGCAGTTTTCCGAGTTAAAGCTTCGATATTTCAGGAAGAATACTGATAAACCGCCCAAGTTGAATTGTGAACAAAGTTTTCCTTGAAGCCATCATCATTAAATTGTAAATAATTGATGCATCGTGCTTCTTTTATTATTTGATCTGCTATAAGATACTTCTCTGTATTGCGTCGTAAAAGACTGTGGAAGATTTCTACAAGTGTATCAGAAAATTTCGGCAATTCCGCATTCATCGCCCTTAAAATTGGATGATCTTTGGATTGCCAATAAAAAATATCTGAAAGGAACATTAAAGGCGCTTTAGTATAGTTTTTACGGTAAAATTTAAGAAAAACCACCCAAACTCGAAAACAAGATTCGATGTATGAATTGAAATCGCCGGCCTGAAAAAATAAGGCATAAATGTCAAGAACCAATGGAATCGTATTATCCAACAAATCCTTGAGTATCAGGTACTCTGCGTCTTTGCACATATATCCGAATTTTATTTCAACCATTTTTGCAATTTCTTGCCACGCACTATGTGAAAGTTCTAATACCAAATTGATGCGCCACGGTTTTGGTTTTAGGGCAAGATTTCTCTTTCGGTCGAATATATATTTGTACATTTCGGAAAAGAATGGTTGATATTGATGAAATATTAGCTCATGGCTATTTAACGAAATGTGCAAAGGACCTATCATTGGAAGAAATGATAAAACTTTGTCAGTAATTCCAGAAGAGCTACCATGAGTAAGATATTGCGATATAGCTGTCCTTAAGTGTATTTGACCGGGCCAATCAGCAATAACCGGAATGACATTGCCGTCTTCAATATATTTATTTATTGTCGGGAGGGATGCTGCAATATTGATGGCCTTAATGTAAGCTTCCATTGTACGAAGATTGCTCTCAAAAAGATCCACGAGCACGGCATCTTTTAGTGATCTTGTACCCTGTTTTTCTTTTAGACGAATATCATAACTGTGGACCGTCAATTCTTCTAGCCTGGTTTCATCATCCACAGAACGAAATCCCCAACGTCGGTTATGAGAAAGTGAATATGTCGAAAAAAAATGTTTTTCAATTCCAGCTTTGAGTAGGATATTATCAACTAATGTAAAATTATGAATATCTTGTCCCGGTATTGATGGTTGGGTCTTAATCAGATTAAGTAAGATGGTAGCGAGATGTACTGGATTAGATGTCGTAGTTGTAGTGGGCATTTTGATGGTATGGATACTATGATAATCGTCGATATTTAAAAGTAGCGTGCTATTAGAACTAACTTCAAGATTGGTCTCCACAGTTACTGAATGCTTTTCAGATATGGAATCCTTATAGTAAGCGATTGAACGAGATGTTAATGTCAAACCCATTCCCGCTAAGGTGTCTATCGTGGAATTAGGTGTTCCCGTAGAATCTAAATACATTCCTAGATCTCTTTTTGCATTATTAACGAACTTATTCCTAATATCACAAATAAAATAGCATAAAAATACCAATTGCTTTGATATTTTTTCCATTGTACTTTTGCTTTTTCTTGACGGGTTG